CACCGCCAGCAAGTACTCTCCACCGAAGCCAGCCCGGAATAACCAGTGAACCTAGTAAGAATTATTTTCCTTATTATTATCCGTTCCAACCGGGTACAAGTCCGAAAAGATTTGTACACTTTAAGTGTGGAATTACTGTGGGCCCGAGAAGAATATTCTTGGTAACCCACACACAAATTCCACCGTCCGTCTCAACCCACACGACAGTGCAATCGTTGGATTCGGCGTGTTAAACCCAATCCTGACGAAGCCGTCGTGTTTACTACAGCGTTGCTTGGTGTCCCGCACCTTGATGTACGCTGGGTAATAGGGGATATGTGAACCAAGACCTAGAGGTTCGGCGTGCCCACCCAATCTCCGGGTCGTTCCATATAGTATACGTACGCTTCTCCCTGGTCGGCGTGTATACCCATCAGACCGAGAAGCGTTGTATACAGAGAGTCCGACACCATCGGCCACCAGGACGTATAAAGCTTAAAGGCTAGTACGAATTGTAAGGCGAGATACTTCGGATCCCGTTTCACCATCCTTTCTTTCCGCCTTGCACCGCTTGGGCTTTCTTCGCTGGTTATTGCTATCGCTTACCGCTTACCGCATTCCGCTTACTAATTTTGCATTGCTTGCTAGGCCATTATACCGATATTTGACCGCCCGCCTGTTTAAAATAAATCCGAAATAATTCCGAATAAATTTTGGTTTATTTTCAGAATCAGCGGGGACCAGTAAAAAACGTCTATAAATATTTTAATCAGACCGTCTAAAATCACCTTTTCCTTTGTACATAAAAACCGTCTACGATTGTAGAGTAATAAATATTTTATTTCGATCCCGTTTGCAAATATTTATTTCTTTTCTAAGGTGATAAGTAAAATGGTAAAAAACCCAGAGTCATAACTTTTTAATTTTGTCTCTTTCACACTGAATTTGTATATAATTATTGTTAAGAAACTTGTAAATAATTTCAGTCGTTTAGTAGTGGGTAGGAATAAAAATTGACACTATATGTATTTGTAATAAGTATTAATATTTTCCCTGTGTGAATAAATCTAGTAAAACTTAATAGGTTTATTTCTTTCACCGTCGAGGTAAAACGATAACATTCCGAACCAGCAAAAACGCTGATATCGTTTTGTAGAGCTCCCGTTAAATTTCATATTTAAAATAAAACTACACTGAGAAAACTACTCTCTGCCGAACTCTCTGCCGTTTTCTCCTAAAAGAAATTCATTGACCCCTGGAATTAATTTTCTTCACTGTAGCTACCTGTGCACTTTACTCTAAACCGAGGGTAAGGGATACGTGGAGTTTCCCCCACGTCAAATTTAGGGAAACTGGCGCCCGAGAATAAAACCGAATATTTAAATTATTAACTAACGTCATCGTTTAGAGTCCAGTCCGAGGAATATAAAACCTTTCCGAAAAATTAAATTACAGGGGGTGTACACACCATAGTTAAAAGTAATAAAAATTTACACCGAACGATCCATAGAGAGAGAACCGAGGAAAAGTGCGTCACAATATTTCCAACGAATAGATGTATTGAAATTGTTTGTAAGCTGGGCCCATATCCATAGCCACGGCTACTATAACATACATGAATGTATCAACACAACGAGAACGACTAGATTGATGTAACTACTGTTCAGACCATAGGTTCAGACGTAAATATTCTTGATCTGAATAGTATGTTTAATTATGAAAGGGCACAAGTCGCTGATTTATATCTTACGACCGGAAAAGAAGAAACGAAGATGGTGTTTAGTATTTTGTTTGTAAAATAGTAACTACTATAGATATCTAAAACCGCACCACAGAAATAAAGATATTTAAATGGTTTGTATGTACGTTTCACTTTTCACTTAGTAATGTTTAATGAAATATACCTAATACGATAAGCATCAATTAATAAATTAGCAAGTAAAGTTGAAAAAATTGTAAAGCATTCTATTAGAAAAGCCATAGTAAAGTGATATCCCTTTACCAAAGCCTTCTTTTGCTATATATAACAACTGTAAACATCATATTTTTTTAATTTTCTCAAAATTGTACTTACATGACTTATATCCTTTCACAAATAAGCGATACAAATAAAATAGAATATAATACAATTATAAACACGCTGGTACAAAAAACGAAATAAACAAAGAAATATGTATTTAAGTAACCTACTAATTTTCGAAATCATCTTCATTACTAGAACTTTGACTATCAGACGCTGTTATAATCAAGTCTTCTACCACATCAACTCGAATATTGTTGTGCAAGTAATTATCTACAACTTTAACATATTGACAACATTTTATCAGTCTTCAACAGTAACTAATGAAAGTTCTTCTTCTATCAGAGTTTTCATAGATTCTAATTTAAATAAAGTATTTTTCTTTGCTACGTTGTCTTTTAAATTAGGATGGTGCCCGTTATCTTGGAATAGACGATCGAGTTTATAAACAGTGTTGTTTTTTATTGTGTTTAATAATTTCATACAGCTGTGGATTATGCAAATTCGGCGAAAAAAGTACGTTTTTACTTATTAACCAATAATTTTCCACATCTGTTTTTCTTGAGTTACAAGTAGGTGCTTTCTATAATTGTAGAGGTGTTTTAATATCTCATGAACCGCGAAATGCGCGAAAGGCGTGGCATATCCCCATAATTCTTCTAATAAGCACGTTGTGAAAACATTGACTCAGAACTAGACCATGTGCATTATTACAAGTAGACATTAACTAAGGCGCTCGGGCATCAATAAAGTCAACTGGCGAATTCGTTATATATATTTTTATTGTTTAAATTAAAATAATAAAGAATAGGGCATTTTATTATGATATTTGTAATCGGATCAGAGGCTTGTTTACGCTAGTGCTCGAGAGAGACTGTGAATAATAGGTGTAATGTTTTTAGGACGTAGAATAATTTAGGCGACGGTCGGAATTATGTTTCTGCGCATATGAAGGTCAAAGCTCATAAGATTTTAAAACATCTCTACATAATGATATGGTGCACTATCAATTACTTCAACACAATTCGGTGGGAGATTTGGAATCAACTTCTCTGTAAGCCACTTCTCATAATTTTGCGGGTTCATGTCGTTGTGGTAGTATCCGAAATATCAATAGACAGTTGGGAATAAAACCCATTTAACCACTGGCGGGAAAAAAATCGACTGACTTTATGGTCGATAGCAAACCCTTACTAGTATTATCTGTCCAACTGTTGGAACTAGTATGGACAGCGTGAATGTACGTTTCATCTAAAAAAGGCAATTGTCGAGATAGTCCAACCTTATAGCTCGAATATCGGTCTTCTCTATTAGCACTCGCCGATTGTTCTTAGTTTTCTTCCACCTAAATAATAATTTTTAATAATGGTGTAAGTATAGGAAGTTTCACGAAAATCGTATTCCGCACTTAATTTTTCTTGTAATTGTGTCAGAGTAACTCGACATTCTTCCGCATTGTAAGATTATAAATCTTGTTTCTAATATCCATTTGTTCCCATTCTGATATGTTGGTTGGTGTACATATTCTCTTGCGTTTTTCAGAAGAACTAAATATTACTTCACCATTACCATTGTGTAAAGCTTGTAACTTGACTCTTTCACTTAAGATTCTCTTCATAGTGGTTAAAATATAAGTACTCCTGCAGCAGCTAAAACACCGTTTTTTAATTGTATTTTTCTTTCATTTGGAAAACTTGTCTTAAAATAATAATTATACACTTCCTCGATTGATTTATTTTAATAAGAATTACAATGAAAATGCACAGGATGATACTCTTACAAAGAAACAAGGCTCCGTAACTGCAAAGCACAGTGTCCACTCCAAGCTGCTACGGTGAACGCTATTCCGCTAATGTTTTTCTACCTCGGATGTCAAATGCGGTTAATTCCGAGAAAGTGACGCAGGAGGATTCTTGGAATTCTATTTCAAAAAGTATCATACGGACTGTACTTATGAACACATTTTCATAATATTTTAATGTTTATTCTGCACACTCTATTTGACGTTTTATATTCTGTATGGTATTAGTGAACAAAGTATAAAAAATGTTTATAATTGAGATTATCGAATAGACACGCTACCTTGCAATACCAGAATATGTACACATTGTAATGCAGTGCAACATAATTGTCTATATTGTCCAAGTTCTACTTTTTAATATACCTAATAAATGATATTTAGGAAACGGTTAAATAATTATAAGACCAATCTATCACCATTAAAATAATGGTAGTCAATTCCCTTATATGCGCTGTATATCAAAAATACATAAATAAACTAATTTAAAGCATTCTATTATTAACATTATTAATAATAAGAGCGGAAAAAAATTGTTAAAGATTAAAAGTGAATATTAACTAAATTATTTTTTTCGATATTATTAGCTGAAAGCTGAGAAATCCTTTTAGGGATATTTTGCGGTTTTCGACGTTCTTTTATATTTATTTACATTATAATTTACCGAAATTGAATAACGGCACTTAAAATGTGGTTTTCAGACGAGTTATCAGTGTTCAACAAATTTTTAGGGACGTAATAATTATTTACTCTTCGTGTAACTCTATCCTCTGTCTAATTGTGTCGTACCATGTTAAAATTGGTAAACAAGTAAATTAAACTTAGAGGAACCAAATTTCTAAATAACACGAAGAAGTATTTAATATAGGGGAACCAGGGGTAAGACGGGAACGCTAAGCATTTATATTAATAAAAATAAAACCAATCAGTGAAAAGTAAAATTTATTCTAAAAATTCTTTGGATAACATCCATAACTCTTTAGGCATAAAAGTATTCGGCTTAACATACACCAAAAAACTGAAAAATGTATTAATTTATAAACAGACAAATATTCCATCTTGCCCCGGGCACGGGGAAAGATGGGGTAGCCCCCGGGGTAAGATGGGGTTTATTTACAAAAATCGCATATAATTATGGCCGATTTCCAGAGGGTCACTTTCGTCTACCCCGGCGCAAGAATTGTGGGACCATCTTTGACATACCTGACATGCAACCCATCCTTCAGTGGATGGGGCTTCATAAAAGAAACATCTAGTGGCTGAAGCCTATGTGTGCAGTGAGGGGGGAAGCAGATTATAACCACGCCGTTTTCTCTAGCAACGTCTATAAGCTCGATGTTCTTGGTGTGAGTAGCGTGACCGTCGAGTAAAAGCAGCACAGGGTTGTCTTTGCTTGCTCTACTGAATTGAATGAAACTTTTGAACCAAGAGACAAATACGTCTGTAGTCATCCATCCGCTGGCATTACAATGGGAAGTTGTTCCTCGTGCCGAGTTGTTTAATAATTGAGCTTTCATGCGCTTGCGAGGGAAGATTAGCATTGGCGGCATATAGCTTCCTGCAGCGCTAACACAAATTTCGACGGTAACTGTTTGTCCTCGTTCAGCTGACGATAATGATCCCACTTGCTTCCTACCCCTGCGTGAAATTATCTTGGATTTTGTTTTAGAAACCGATGAGATGCCTGTTTCATCACAGCTGTAAATCCTATCAGGCCCTAACTTATATTTATCTAATACAGCACCCAAAAGTTCATAAAATTTTGCAACGGAGATCTTATTGAATCCCATACCTCTGGCAGCTGAGGTTGCTTAGGGTTTTCTTATTGATAAGTCACAATGACGTTTTAAAAACCCTTGGACCCAATCGACACCAGCGAGTTTGGCTGTTGTATTAAATCTGTGTTTCTTACCATTTTTGACGGCCAATTGATAGGCCAAACTTCTCAGCTCCAGCGTACTAAGTCCGAATAACCTTGCTTCCATTTCTTTCAAATATTCGACTAATTCATTTTCTTCTTTTTTACTGAACACTGTTGTAATTGGCCCTAACGGTAAATCTAAGTTCATTTCACCTTTGGTTTTAATCGCATTGACGTGTCTTTCCAACGTTGTTTGTGGCACTGAATATTGCAATGCCGCTTTGCGGTAACCCATTTCTTTGTTTAAGACTTTTTCAACGGTCTGTTTCATACTTTCTTTGGACCACTCTCCCCTCGATGTTTTCTTTTTATATTTGCGAACTATTGTACTGAAAACAAACACCTATTTTAATAGTTCATGTATCTTTTAATTAGTAATAAATTTTTCAATATGATTTCTTAGGAAGAGAAATATTGGGGCAAGATGGGGTACCCAAGAAATATAGTACCCCATCATGCCCCAAACCACATTTGTTACAAAAGTTGTTTTCTTACCTTTTCCAAACGACTTTAAAAAACAAATGCTTTTGGCTAAATACGCCCCTATGCTGGTACACTGTAGTGAGAATAATGTTTCTTGCTTTAACTGAATGCACACTTTTTGACACCCGATGCTTTAAGCCGTAAAATAAGATCACTCATACGTAAAACTCATAAATCAGTCATAACCTCCAAACGGTGTACTTCGAACTGCTGTTCTGCAATCACTGAGCAGAAATGTCGTCTAGGGAGTCCAAGGTTATGCAGTAAAGCTATCCATACATGTTAGTTTTTGGAGTAAGTGTCCCCTAATGGTGTCATTTTGTTACCACGTGATTCAGAAATTTGAATTTTAGGTTTAGTAAATTCATCACAAAGTTGCATGTTTTCATATAATACATAGTGTCTTATACTTTGTGTAAAATCTGAAAATACCGAAATATGGTATTTGATTTCTAGCTGGAAATGATATTCCTTTTATTCTTCTACTTTTTCTTCTTATAATTTTATGTTTAATTTAATACAAAATGAACATATTACAATAAATTATTAAGTAGTTGTGCCCACATGTCAACACCACATGTTCTATTCAAAATTAAAATGACTTTCAGTTTTTTACATATTTGTAGATATGCACAAAGCATTTTACGTTCAAATTATTGGTAAAAAGCTTCATGTAAATTCAGTTAGTTTAGTGTTTTAATTAAAAAAAATGACTGGTTGAACATTTTTATAATCGTATTTTAATACAAAAATAACTTTTTCGATTTTATAGAGATAAAATTTTACTATAGAGCAGAAAAAACAAATGATTATCACCGGTTTTTCGAGAATATACTGAAAAGTTAAAGTTTGTTAAATACTTAATTCCTCCTATAATGGTTGTACAATTCCCGAACTGGTTGCCATGTCATCGGCTTAGATTTCTTAGCATTTTTAGAGACATATCTCCCTCTTCCTTAGAAGAAAATTTAAAGAAGTAAAGAGATACGAGGTTTGATAAAAAAGTAATGGAAATTATTAACTTTCTTAGAAAGTATTTATTGAAAATTCATCTTCAATTTGTATCCTATCGCATTCAAAGTAGCACCCCTGTGACATTATATACATATGCCAACGTAGTTTGCAGTTTGAGAATCAATGGTGGAACGCCTTTTTAGGTATCTTGAGGACGGTTTTCGATTTTGCCTTTATCTCAACTTTTGTTGAAAAACGTTGTGCATTGAGTACCCTTTTGAGTTTGGAAAATAGGAAAAAGTCACAGGGGTAATGTCAGGAAAATAGAGTGATTGCGGTATCAGAACAGTGTTGTGTTTCGTTGGATAAGCAAAGCACTATGCGCTGGTGCGTTGTAGTAGTGCAAAATCCACGAATTGTTTCTCGTGTTCTTGTTGTTTTCTCCTGATTGTCTCACGCAAATTGCTCAAAACTTGTAGGTAGTAGTACTTGTTAACTCTGCAATCAGGCAGTAAAAAATTGCGATTAATTATTCCATTGTACTTAAAGGAAACGGTTAGAAGGACTCTTCATATTTTAACCAATCATAAACTCGTGACTGTGATATAGTATTCTCATTAAAGAAAGCAATTCTTTAACATTTTTCACGCTTTACTGCACTTAATTCCGTTATTAACACACATTCTCTGATCAGACATTTTGCCACACAAAAAATCGCCCAAAAAACACTGAGGTAAGTCTTACTCATTCGCTAGCTAAACACAAACTAAGTGTGTCAGCTGCCTAAAAATTGACATGTACCTACGTCATTGACAGTGCTACCAATACACAAAAAAGCATCTCGATAGGCAAGATATAATTTGAAAATTACCGTTAATTTTTGGTCAAACGTCGCATGACTTCCAAAGTTTAAGCCGATGACATGACAACTGGTCCGGAAATCGTTCAATAATTATAGCTGCCACTGAGCCCTGCAAAACAAGCTCCTCGTAGATTTTTTCTATGTTTAAACAACCCACGAAATAATTATACTTCATCTTTTAATTTCAAAATGGTTATCCCTGAATATTATTTTGTCAAATAATTCTGAAACAAACGGTTAACCGGAAAAAGATCTTTTCTGTCTTTGTCCTTAGATACATAGTAATTTTCCATTTTTTGAGGACGAAGACAAAAAGAAACTACTGTTATATCAAACTGAATACATTTAGGAAAATGAGAAAATGAGTTAATTCTGTATCTCTTTTGTGGATTTTGGGATATTTTGGTGACGTAATTTATACCAGTTGCAATCAGGTTAAATCAAGGAAATTACTGATTAGAAATAAATCAGCTTTTATAACGATGCCCACAAAAATGATTATTTAAAAAAATATGTAGAATTATTTCTTCAATAAGTTATACAGAATCATTATCATGTGGATATAAATATTTATTTTTACAAAAGCTGTATAGGAAAAGAAATTCGTATTTTGTGATTTAATGTACCCACGAAGTTTTGTATGTTTAATTTCAAATCAACGATTTCATTGAGGCCAACCAGACAATTTCCCTAAAAGCACAGTAAATCTAAACGTAGCATTGTTTGGGATGTCGGCAAATGAAGTGAAAATATTTCATTTTGTAGAAGCTTGGGCAGTTTTCCGTTTTATTGAATACATGAAAAGCAGATAAATATTAAATACCTATACGTGTCACGACAAAATTCTATAGTAGGTATAGTAAAAATAGTCTTAATCCAGCGTTTATCTAATATACACACGTACTTGAATTCGTATAAAAAGGATAGTAATTTTTTTACTATATACAGGTAGTTTATACAGGGACGGAAAGTCCCCATGGTTCATCGTACGTTACGTGAGAGCGATAAAGAAAGTCATAGAAATCCGTGCGATAGAGAAAGATGGCTATAATGAAGGCGTCTAATAGTCACCGCCCATTTCGCCCTTCCACAAATAAGATCCACTTCTTATCCTGTATGTACATTTCATAGTAAGTGACAACCAAGATATATTCTTATATTTACTTTATATTTACTTTAGGTAAGATAGTAGAAGCAGTCCATGAATTTCAGTGTCTATAGAATTAAACTGTGGAAACTAAAAAACAAGCAAAGAAAAAAGTGGGCTGCTTTTTTCTATATTAACTCTTAATAGTCCATAGTCAAACGAGTTTTTGATGCATTCTAGTTTATACAATTTACCTTAGTTCAGCCGCCCATGACCCGCCTTTATGAAGCGTTACAATGTCATCACTTTCAGCGAACAATCATTAATGCATATTGTAAATAAAATAGTACCTAATATACTGCCTTGTGGTAGACGATATTTAATTTTCTTATGGCACTACACCAATTGATATCATGATAAAGTAAACAGGGCGAACATAATGTCCTTTATAGAGTTAATTTTTTTAATTACCTCCAGTTCAATTTCTGTAGCCTATAGACATTTTTTTACTAAGTCAGGTAATGCTTTGTCTTTAATTTCAGAAAGTAAAATCGCACTTTTAATACTCCAATTTACTTTGGTACATAATTTTTGGTAATTTGATTATATAAAATATAAATGTCCAAGAAATATAATTCAAACTGAAGTGATTTTCCTGACAAATAAATATGGAATGCTAAGTTATAAATGACATTAATTGCTTTCTCTCATGGTAAATGAAGCAAAACGAATGCACATTTCAAAACACGTTTTCATTTCTCTGGTATTTTTGCAATTTATTCGTAATATCTAAAATTTCAGTTGCATCTGAAATATTAGGATGTACTCTATGGTGTACTCTATGGATAACCAATATTGTAAGAATAACCTGTTGTGGATATTTGTAAGTGCTAGGTGGTGAATAGAATATTTGTTAATTTATGTTAACACCTTATAACACAGTAACTAAATTTCACTGTTCCCGTGTTTTTTCAGTTAATTAATATTAGAACACTGACCTGCTAAATCTAGTAAAATCTAATATTAGATGAATATGTTCAAGGATTTAAGGGGACGACAAAGGATAATCATGAAGTTAGCTTACTGCTGGAAAGACACGGCTGAGTTTCTAGATGGACTTACTAATACCGTTATGCAAATTTGGTTAACAAACTAATTATAATTATGTTTTGTCAGTTTTTTCTCTTCTTCTACGATAAATTTTCTTAACTCAAAGCCAGATCAAAATTTCAACAGAAATTTCTTTCATTAAAAAAAAAGAAATCATGTTTCGATATAGAAATAGATGTTTTTCGGTAGCTACTTTTATATTGCTTATTATTAAGGCTCGGGGTTTTCGTCGGCTAGTCATAGGCGTGTTCGTCGTAAACAAATAAATAAACAGGTAGTTATAAATAAAAATAAATAAATTTGCATACTTTATCAGCGAAAGGTCGTTTTTTACCCCTTGGCGAGTTCGATATTATTAGAATATTAAAACACGTATACACGAAGCAAATGCGAAGCCAATAGCTGCCGTTATTAACGGTTTGGTACGGTGTGCTGTAGAGAAAGGCCGACGCGACGGCTATGATCATCCGACCGAGTCCCTAGCTCTACTTATTATTAAATATCATGGATAATAAATATTACATAGTATAGTTATTTGTGTGTACAAAATGATAAGAGAGAACAAAACTGTTTTGACAAGCCGTAGCCGACTCAAAGTTATTATTCGAAACCACAGGCTAGTTAACATCTTCAGAACCGTGAAAAATACTGATAATTCGAGTTAAGGGATGGTTGAGAGCTCATTCGATTCGGGATGACGATGACGCCTAGAAAAATGTGCATAAAAATCGTATTCGCACATAAACAATTGCAAAAGTTATAAACAAATAAAGACTTAAACAAGGGGTTCGTTTTTATGAAATGTTTATTTTTTTTTTAATGAAAAAACTGGT